ATAAGGAGGGGCGCCTGGGTGGCTCAGTCGGTTAAGTGTCTGCCTTCGGCTCAGGTCATGATCCCGGGGTCCTGGGATGGAGCCCCACATCGGGCTCCCTGCTCAGCGGGAAGCCTGCTTCTCCCTCTGCCTGCCGCTCCCCCTGCTTGTGCTCTCTGATAAGTAAAATCATTTTAAAAAAAGAAATATTGATGAGGAATTACTAGGGACCCCAGAGCAAGAAGCTGAAGAAGAGTGTGATGTAGTTAAGGGGCAAGGATGCTGGGACAGGACTTCAGTCACACTTAGAATAATGATGTTCCGGAAAGTCCAACAGACTGATAGGTTAATACACTAAAACCTCTGGGTGTCCAAAAAAATACCCCCAAACCAGCATTCAAAACTGTAAGAAGCAGGTAATTGGGAAAGAAGACATCCAAATGGCCAACAGACACATGAAAAAGTGCTCCACATCGCTCGGCATCAGGGAAATCCAAATCAAAACCTCAATGAGATACCACCTCACACCCGTCAGAATGGCTAACATTAACAAGTCAGGGAACGACAGATGTTGGCGGGGATGTGGAGAAAGGGGAACCCTCCTACACTGTTGGTGGGAATGCAAGCTGGTGCAACCACTCTGGAAAACAGTATGGAGGTTCCTCAAACAGTTGAAAATAGAGCTACCCTACGACCCAGCAATGGCACTACTGCATATTTACCCCGAAGATACCAATGTAGGGATCTGAAGGGGTACGTGAACCCCAATGTTTATAGCAGCAATGTCCGCAATAGCCAAACTGTGGAAAGAGCCAAGATGTCCATCGACAGATGAATGGATAAAGAAGATGTGGTATATATACACAATGGAATATCATGCAGCCATCAAAAGAAATGAGATCTTGCCATTTGCAACGACGTGGATGGAACTGGAGGGTGTTATGCTGAGTGAAATAAGTCAATCAGAGAAAGACATGTATCATATGACCTCACTGATATGAGGAATTCTTAATCTCAGGAAACAAAGTGAGGGTTGCTGGAGTGGAGGGGGTAGGAGGGATGGGGTGGCTGGGTGATAGACATTGGGGAGGGTATGTGCTATGGTGAGCGCTGTGAATTGTACAAGACTGATGAATCACGGATCTGTACTTCTGAAACAAATAATGCAATATATGTTAAGAAAAAAGAAAGAAGAAGGTAGCAGGAGGGGAAGAATGAAGGGGAGTAAGTCGGAGGGGGAGACGAACCATGAGAGACGATGGACTCTGAAAAACAAACTAAGGTTTCAGAGGGGAGGGGGGTGGGGGGATGGGTTAGCCTGGTAATGGGTATTAAAGAGGGCACATCCTGCGTGGAGCACTGGGTGTTATGCACAAACAATCATGGAACACTACATCAAAAACTAATGATGTAATGTATGGTGATTAACATAACAAAAAATTATTTAAAAAAAGATGAGAAAAGCACAGTAAGCCAATTTTAGAGACATGGCAGAAATAGGCATAGAATTATAAATGTATAAATGTATAAAAGCAAACAAGAAGAGAAAAACTGAATATACAATAAGCATTAATGAAAATGTAAATAGTAATGGGATAATTTTTCAGATTTTTAAAAAGGTTCAGAATTGAAATGGTGAATTACTACAAATATATTTTTAACTGATATTTCTCCTTAACAGAGAAGTGCTTTTTTAAAACTGAAAATTCAGGGGCACTTCGGTGGCTCAGTTGGTTGAATGACTAACTCTTGGTTTGGGCTCAGGTCATGATCTCAGGGTGCTGAGATCAAGCCAGGAATTGGGCTCCACATTCAGTGGGGGAGTCTGCTCAAATATTCTCTCCCTCTGCCCCTCCCCCACATGCACACACTCTCTTCCTCTCTATCTCTAAAATAAATAAGTAAATCTTTTTTTAAAAAAAAAGAAGCAGGTAATTGGGAAAAGTATATATAGCAAAAGGTTAATAGCCTTAATATTTATTTTAAAAAAAAAACAACTCTTACAGATCAGTAGGATGAGCATCCAGTAGAAAAACAGAGTACCAGACATGAACGGACAGTTCAAGAAGAAGAAATATAATGAGCCAATACATTTATGAAAAGTGGTCAGCCTCACCAGGAATCAAATAAATGCAAACTACAACAACAAAGAGACGTTATCTTTTGCCTAGCTAATTGGCGAAGATTAAATATGTGATAATACCTCATGTTAGTGAGGGTGTGGAAAAAACAGGCACTGTCATTCACTGGTGGGAGTGCAAATTGGTGTAACCTTTCCAGAAGGCAATTTGACAAGGCTTAAAGCTGAGGAAGATCGCATACCCTTTTGATGCAGCAATTCCCCTTTTAGGAAGATTGCCCTAGGAAATTATTGTGGATAGTAATAAACAATAATAGCTAACCTTTGTTAAATGCTCTGTGCAAGCCAGACTTTACGTGCATTGTCTCATACAAGGCTTACAGCTATCATCCCATGAGGGAGGAGCTATTATTATCACCCGTATTTCACAGGGGAGGAAACTGAGGCACAAAAGGATTAGGTCAGTGACCTGAGGACACAAAGCTAATAAGTAGCAAAGCCTGGATTTGAATCCAGGCGGTCTGAGTCAAGAGCCACACTGCACATCCATCAGGACGCCCTGGGTGTGTGCGAAGGATGAACACTGTGTGCACTGAATGGGCACGATGCGTATATATGTTGGACCAAGCTGGGCCCGTTTGTAATGTGGTGGCAATGGGGAGAAAACATGCTGAATACCCCAGGACAGGAACTGGTTACGTCGATTATGATACGCCGATAAAGGAATATTATGCAACCATGAAAAATGAGAAAAGTATATGTGTGTGAACACTGGGGGGTTTTGTACACGCATAAAATGTCTCTGAAATGATACAAAAGCAACTTAAATTGGTCGCCTCCTGTGGTCAGAAGTCAGAGGGAGACTTGTTTTTCAAGCCATATACCCTTTTACACTTCTTAAATTTTGAATTATGTGAAGATATTATTAAGATGCATAGGTATGTGTACACGCACACATAAGTTATGTTCTAGAGCTATTCCATGTAACTTTATTTCCTTGAAATGCTGCTAAGGATTCTGAGAAAAAAAGGTCTAAGACCCTTGCTTGGAGAATCATCCCAAAGTCAGTGATGCTACTTCTTTAACTCTGTTGCCCACCTGTTCCCCAAACTGGTTTGCTCATGGGATCCTTTTCCCAAGTAACGTCTATTATCATCTCTCTGGATATTCGTGGCCTATAGAAGTCAGTTTGGGAAATGCTATCGTTAATAGTTAATGCCGAGCTCAAAGGCTTACATTTCTTTCATTAAGCAAAAGCAACGTGTTACTGACGCTGATCCTATTTATTTACAATGCATGTGTATGTGTGTGTATTTTAATTCTGAGTACTAGGATGGTGGATGATTTGGTTTTCTTCTTTTATCTGTCTGTATTTTTAAATTTTGTAAAATGAACAAAATCATTTCACAAGCACTGTTGTTTTTGAGTCTATGTAATATCATTTTGAAGCGTCAGGAGCCCTTTCTCTTTCTGCTCTCTCGGCCCGGGGACCCCGCTCCCATCTACTGCCTGCTTACAAGCAGCCGTTCAGGTGTAGGTTCAGTGAGGGAATGCTAGCCATAGCCAGGCCCTCCTGGCAGCCTTCATCCAGAGTCAGCCGGGCCGGGACCATTCTGTCCCCAGAGAACTCCCTGGCCTAGCAGACCTTGGCTTCTGCTGTTGGAAGAATTTCAGTTATGTTCTCCATTTCCCAAAAAGAGACACAGGCTGTAAAAGCAGACACCGGACTGCTACGGTCCTGACGTGTTGCAAATGCAGATACCTGGGCTTCGGTCCCAGCTCTGTAGCTGCCTGGCTGCCTGGCTGTGTGACCTTGGGCAAGTTTCTTAACCTGTCTGAGTCTCATCTTCCCCCCACCTATGTCAGCAATGACACTTGCCTCACAGAGCTCAGGGACCGAACGAGAGCACGCATGAAGGCATTGTGTAACCTGTAAAGGGCTGTCCCTGTGGAAATTATTATATGCCCCAGTAGGGAACATGGGCTTGCCCTTACCTTCCCGAGAACAGAGTACTTTTTTTTTTTTTTTTTTTTTTAGGTTGTTGGGGGGACGGGAGCAAGGAGATGAGGCATGGGAGATCTGGGCACATGGAAATAGAATTCTGTGTAAGAAAAATGGGAGAAACCTCTCTGCTTGGCATTTGCAGGCCTGCAGCCCTGGTTGGGCCTGTGTCCCCCAGTGGAGCCCCAGGCCTTGTCCCCCAGACAGCTGCTCCACTGGACCCAATCAAGTCAGCCCACCCCCTCTGGACCACGTGATTCTCCAAAGCCACCATGCTGACGCTGCCTGGCTCACCTCCCTTCCTGCCCCTTCTAGCACCTTAGCATCCTTTAGCCCTTAACTAAATTAGCTCTTCCCCCAGCCTGGATTGGGGTCGCTCCTCTAGGTTTCAGCACCTCCAGGCTTCCGCGTACCATGCTGTGATGTTAGGGCCAGATTACAGCAGTCCTGACGCACTGAACTTTCTGCGGGCAGGAGCTGGGTCTGTCATCTTGGTCCGCCTGTGTCCTCTGGGCCCAGCATAGGCCTGGGCGTCTGGGACAGGAGTTAGAGCGTGAGCACCGAAGTCAAGGGGACCTGAGCTTGAATCCCAGTGCACCCTGAGAAAGTGCCTTCACCATTCTGAGCCTTAGTTTTCCCCATCTGTAAAGGGGTTTCATCACTTGCAATGAGTTCCTGGGTTTTTTTTTCATAAGCTAATGTATGTAAAGCTCCTAGTGTCATTCCAGGCAGGAAGGGAGCTCCATGGGTAGTAGCCACATTGACAGCATTGCAGACCCTCTGTGACCGTGGACTGAATTGAAGTGGGAGATGACCCCAGGAGGGGTGGCTCCCCAGGCCACCCTTCCCCCTCCCAAAGACAGCAGCCCTCCCTCCACTGCGCATGCTTGGCACCGCGCCCCCACCACCATGCTCACCTCCCTGCCTTGTTCCCCACAGCCACCCGGCCCAAGCTGAAGAAGATGAAGAGCCAGACGGGACAGGTGGGTGAGAAGCAGTCACTGAAGTGCGAGGCAGCGGCGGGCAACCCTCAGCCCTCCTACCGCTGGTTCAAGGACGGCAAGGAGCTCAACCGCAGCCGTGACATTCGCATCAAGTACGGCAACGGCAGGTGAGAAACGCCCCTCCCTCTGTCGAACCAGCGGCCCTCCCTCCTCCCTGAAAACGGGGGGCCAGTTCCCTGTCCCCCTTCCTGGCCACATCCCAGCCCTCCTTGCTAGGCTCTGGGTCCCTCTGGTTATGGCGGCCCAACGTCTTGCAGACTGTAGATGCTTAATGAAGGTCTCTGGATGGTTGAAGGCAGTTTGATCATCAAACTCAGCACTACCTGTGGAAGTCCCCTCTTGTCCCTAAAACTTCTCGAAGGACCTGCCTCAGGGTCTGAAAGCCCACCATCTGGCAACCTTGGGTGGAAGACGGACTCCAGGATGCGCCCGGGAAGTCACGAGTGATGACTCCCACCTTCCTCTACCACCAACTCTCTCTCATCACTTCGCTTCTAGAAGCTTTCCCTCCACGTCGCAGTGCCTGTCCCTCCTCCAGCTCTTGCCCGTGCTGCTTCTCCCCTCCACCATCAAGTGGGTCAGTTGCATGTCCGCTGACTCCACCCCACCCTGTGGTCCTCCACGCCCCGGGCCCTGCTGGAATCTGCCTTCTAACTACACGCCGCCGCCTGCGGCGAGCCCCAGGCCTCCAGGCCTCTGCAGGCACTGGCATGGGCGCCGCCGGCTCTGCGGCCTCGGGGGCTGTACCCCCTGGGCCTTCTGGGCCTCTAACCGCTCTGTCTCTCCGTCACCATCAGTGCTGGGACTTTCCTGTCTTGGGGGCTTCCCTCTTCTCCCTCCCACCCCCCTCTCCATTTGGGGGTGACTTTACCCTCTCCTAGCTGATAACCTTGTCCCTAGTTAGATGCCTTTACACACACACACACACACACACACACACACACACACACATATATATATATATCTGAGTTCCAGACCCATGCTGCCAACTAAACACTAGACCCCACCCCTGAGATGCCCCCACACGGCTCTAACCCTGTGTGCCCCAGTCTAGCCTCCCCCCCCCCCCCGCGCCCTCTCGGGCCCTGCCGCACCCTCCTGTCTCCCCTCTCGGCGGCAGCAGAACCAGACGGCCCGCTGCCTGGCACCTGCCCTCGTGCCATGCCCACCGGCAAGAGACCCCCCTGCTCTCCTGCCTCCGGCTTTTTTGCCTCCACTGTCCCACTCTTGGGCCGTCCCCACTCTTCCTGGGCCACAGGCCCCTTTGTGAGTTCGCTGTACGTAACACGTGCACGTGGAACATCAGCTGTGGGCCAGGCCCCCTGCCTGAGGCTGGGCCTACACCAGAAAATGAACCACGCGTGGTCCCTCCCTACCTTCACAGAGCTTCTAGTCTAGCTCCCAGCACAGAAGGTGGTAGAGGCCTCCACCCTGTCTTCTGAAAAAATGTGCCTTATCCACCCGGTTTTGCTTACAATTCTAGAGGCCCGCTGACCCCTGTGACCCTGGCAGGGGATGATCTTTCTAACATGGACGCATAGCTGATCATTCACCCACTTACGTGACAGATCTTGAGAGCCTGCTGTATGCCAGCTACAGCCCAGGCCTCAGGCCCTTCCAACTCCCCCCTTCCTAAGTCACTGCCATGCTGCTCCACACCCCCCAGTGCTCCTGATCCCTGGTCTTTTCCTTTCATGATCCCGGACTTGGGCCCACGCTGTTCCCCGTGCTGGCAGCTACCCCCCTCGCCAACCTTGTCCCTAGCAAAGTTCTCCAGGCCCAGATTAAATGTCATATCCTCTGGGACACCTTCCTGAACCCTCCAGGCAGCTCTTATGGTCCCCTCTCATGGTGCTTTGGACATGGTTTCATTGAATTTTGGGGGGTTGTCTCTCCCTGTAGCACGAGAGAGCCTCAGAGGCTGGATGCCGCCCATATACACCCTTCTGCCCTGTAGGGCCTGGCGGGGACCTGCGTTGGGTGTTGAATGAAAGAGGATCTTGCAGGGCCAGCCCCCCTCTCCTGGGTACAGGGTGACACTAGGCCTGGACACCCTTTGTGTTGACCTAGACTTTGAGCAAGCTCCTGTCCTGGTCAAGCCTCAGTCTCATCTGACAAACGGGTTACCCGGTCCAGAAACAGGGCCTTGTCAGGTCTTTCTGGTTGGGTATTGGGGACCCCTGAGAGCCTGAAGTGTGACCCCTGCCGTCTTCCTATTAGGGCCCTGTCCCATTTGCTGCAGTCCCGAAACATCCTCGATCCACCCATCCCGCCCCTGGGCTCCCAGCAGTGAGTTGACGGGGTGGAGGAGTGAACCATGATGGAGAACTTGGATCCCCTTGCTGTGGCAGAGAGGGCTGCCACCTCCACACACACACACACACACACACACACACACACACACACACACACACAC